CCCTGTCTCCCTCCCCTCTCCCTCTCTCCCCCCCTCTGTCTCCCACACACACACACACACACACACACACACACACACACACACACACACCATTGACTCTCTGCTCTGCTCCTTTAGGAATCCTGACTAGTCCATGTGGAAACCGTGTTGAAGTTAGGTGTCAGAAAGAGTGTAGCACTGTTCTTAAAGCCCTGGATAAAGCTGAGCTTCCCAAGGGTGTCCTTTTCCCCACCCTCCTGTCAACAAGTCCATACTGAGGCACACAGTTCCCCAAGGCAAGACTATTTCCATCTGGAAACTGGAAAACATAACAAAAGAGGGAACTTCCTAGTGTACAAGAGACATTCCAATGGCTGTGGGGTTCTCTCTGCTACCATCACAGTCAGAAGAGTAACAATCTGATCCCAGGGAAGCAAGAAAGTAGTTCAGTTCAACACAACTAAATAGCCAGTGTCAGTTCAAACTTCAGGAGTATGAACCCAAGTAGTTTTTGAGGCATTTGAGTTTTTAAGCATAGCAAAATTTGGTGAATAACTTCCTGGTGATAACTCAATCCCGTGTGCACAAGAAAACTTAAGACATGACTACATTGATAGATAATCTTTGTAAAGTACGGGTGACATCTTCCAGAAAGGTAGATCTTATAGATTGACAAGCTCATTATCTTGGCCACCCAGACAGTGCAAAAGTCACCAGGCTATTAATCATGTCTGCTTGCTGTAGGCATCTGGTCTGTGGACCTGTAACAGTGGCCACACCCCTTTGGGTGTGGTTTCAGGTGGATGGAAGCAGAAAGAGAGGAGTTTGAGGCGTGGCTTCCCTTGGTGAGCTCTTTTCTGGCAGGTCAGCAGATCCTGTAGGGAGAGCAGGGAATTGCTCCAGCGGCTCTTTGCATTTTTCTGTTTAATTGTTCCCCAATAAACACCCATTTATCATTTATCTTGGGTGTAGTGATAGAATTATATCCTTGCCTTTAGCTCACAGCCTTCTGGGTGGAAAACAGGTTATGTATCTCTCTGAAGAGACAACCCTGTGTGTTAACATTCCTGATTCCCCTAGTGCTTGTCTGTGAGCACAAGGACCTCTATACCTCTCACAACAGTCATTATAATGTAGCTAGATGGGCTTTAGGCTCTAGACCAGTGGTTCACAACCTTCCTAAGGCTGTGACACTTTAAAACAGTTCCTCACATTGTAGTGACCCCCCAACCATAAGAGTGTTTCGTTGTTACTTCATAACTGTAATTTTGCTACTGTTATGAATCGTAATGTAAATATCTGATATATGGCCCCAATAAAGTCACAACTCACAGGTTGAGAACCATTGCTCTAGACTAAGGTAAATTATTTTACCCTTTTGCTCTAGACACTTCCATGACAATGATAGACTGTAAATTATCTCTTGGGTCCTGACAAGTTCAAAGCACCCTTCTGACACATCTAGAGTCACCTGTGTTAATATATGTGAACACCGAAGTATAGGCCAGAGTCCTGTGGAACAGGAAAACATTCTTGACTCCCAGAGCTACCACTAAAAGCTGTGGCAGAATGAGAAGAAACAGATTCCTGGGAAGAACTGGGTGTTTCTGCTTCTCATTCATACATTCAACAAGTTTCAACAACTGTACTTCAGCTGCAGATTTGGAAATGAATCACACACAGCCTCCTCTCCTAGGAGTATTTGGCTCAGTGCTGGAGACAGATAAGACCACAAACTACCAACACTATGATGTAGTGATGACACTCTCTATGGAGAAGAGGGACAGACTACTGATTTGAATCTTTCATTCCCTGACCAGTGACCTTGAATTTAAGCCTTAGACTTGCCCCACTCCGCTTTGATATTCCTGCTGAAAAGTGAGATAGGAGGAGGGTTTCTGCGTAAGCTCCAACACCCTCCAGGCTCTGACATTCTTTGACTTGTGTGCCTCTGCTGTGTTTACTTCACAGACGGACCTGGCATCTACTGTCACCAAGTCCTGGGCTGGGCTTGGATTTTCTTGTTTCTAAAATGGCAGTACATGTTCCTTGTTCTGCCTGATTCCTTCATCCTACTATGCTTAGAGATAGGAGATGCATGTGGCATTTTGGTAATAAGTGAAACCCTTTCTTTTGTTATGCAAAATTCTTCTCCATCTGTCTTTTCATTTTGTATTTGACATGTAGCTTACAAGTTTCCCTTCTTCCTACCAAAACAACATATCTTACTAACACTCAGTAAGACAGCCCAAACCATAACCATTTTCACTTTTCCTTGGCCCTCCCCTAAGCCATCTTTCCATCCCCTCTAGACTTTCTCCTTCCCTATTAAACACAGAAAAAGCATCAACAACCACTTTCTAAATTTAGGACAAACTCCGTTGTTTTTCTATTCACAAAGATCAAAATCCTCAGTATTCTTTTCTGGCAGTTTCTTCTCCCTTTTCTTGTCACATTTTTTTTTCCCAGAGACCCTTTGTCCTTGGAGTCCACAAGCTATCTGCCCTTAGATTTTTGCTTCTCTTTCATACTGCCAGGACTCATCTGGCTGTCACCCACAGGCCTGTTCTTTGCTTTAACAAAAAGTTTCAAATAGATCCTTCTCCACTAACACCGGAGGGAAAAAAATCCCTCACTGAGGCTAACCCAGGAGAACTGAAAACCAGACTTTAAAACAGTCTTGTAGGAAATATTCATAGCAGTGCTACTTATCATAGCCAAATGGTGGGGACAGCCCAAATGCCCATCAAGTGATGGACGGCTAAATAAAATCTGTTGTATCCAAACCATGAACTATTTATTTGTCAGCCTTAAAAAGGTAAAAAGTACCGATTCACACCACCATACAGATAAACCTTGAAAACATACTCCATAAAATGAGGCAGAAACCACAGGGCAGGTGTGATTCTATTTATAGGATATAGGCTCAGAGGCAAATGAACAGAGACAAAAGGAAAATTAGTGGTTGACAAGATCTAAGAATAGGAGAGAATTCAGAGTGAATATTGTTGGGATGAAGTTCCTTTGGGGATGAATAGATTCTAGAGCAAGGTATTGATGTTTTCATAGCTTTGTGAATATACTTAAAACCCATCAAATTGTAAAGTTTAAAATGACTGAAGTGGCCAGACATTGTGCTGCATGCCTGTAGTCCCAGCACTTGGGGAGGTGAGGCAGGAGGCTGGCAAGTATGAACCCATTCTGACTTACATAGTGAAACCTTTTGTCAAAAGAATCAACAGTTAAAGTGTTGAACTTCATGTTATGTGAACTGTTTTTTTTTCTATGTATGTGGATTTTCAAGACAGGGTTTCTCTGTGTAGCAGCCTTAGCTACACTCAGTGTCCTGAAACTCAATTTGTAGACCAGGCTGGCCAAGAACTCATAGAGATCTGTCTGCCTCTGCCTCCCAAGAGCTGATATTAAACTTCACCTCGCTGTGAACTTTTTTTAATGTTATGTGAAGTTTAGCTCGGTAATAAATGCAAATATGATGGGGACTAACATGATCAACGAACATGAATACGTCCTTGTTAAACTCAGTGCTAGATACACTGAATGTATGCCAGTAAAAAAAGGAGTCATTAAAATACTAACCTATCTTGTGACTCCATTCTTTTAGAGCCATGCTATGAACAGCTAACCTCCTAGTCCAAGATGATAACAGCAAGAGCATCACTATCAGCACTCCAGAAAACAATTTGAGTACAAAGCCAATAGTATAATTCTCTGGCATAACAATAACAATAGCATTTTGTTAACTGTCTCAGATGTTCCTAGTACTGCCAGTCTTCAGTATTAGTGGACTCCATTTCTGTGTATTCTACCAATCACAGGTGTAAAATAATCTGTGGTACTCACTTGTACTCCTAACTACTTTGGAGGCTGAGCAGAAGAACCCCTGAAACTCGGGAATTCTAAACCAGTCTATGCAACCTAGTGAGAAACCACCTAAACACAATTTAAAATAAAAGTGTCTGTGTTAACTATAGGCATACTTTTTTCCTTTTTATCTTTCCCTAAGCAGTATGGCATAACTATTTGTATATGATTTAGGTTATTGTAAGTCATCTAGAGATGATTCAAATGTTGGAGTAGATGAGCCTAGACTCCACATAAATGCTCCAACATTTTCTATAAATGATCAAGTATTGTAGAAGATCATAAACCCAACCACATACCCATCCATTCTTCTCCTATAAGTGAGATATATCCCCAGAATCCTTCTCAATAGCATT